CTCTCTAGCCAAAGGACTAGGAAAGGAACAACCTAGCAGGACCTAAAACTTTTAGAAAATAACTGATTGTTCCCTCATTTCATTTGACCCTTTTTGCAAATGCCACCTTGTATAAGAGGCCTGTGCATACCACCCTCCATTCCCCTTTAGCTCCGCTTACCCTGCTTTAGTTCTTCTTATCATTTATCACCATGTCATATACTGCATAGTCCACTATTTATGTATGTTCTTCCTCTGGAATGCCTTCTCCATTAAGTCAGAAATGTCTTGTTCACTGTTGCACCCCCAAGGAGACACCTAGACCTGGCATATAGACAGACCAGACTCACTGCCATCAATCCCGACTCATAGCGACTCCTCCTTGGGTTTCCAAAGCGGTATCTCTACAGAAGTAGATTGCCCAATCTTCCTTCCGAGGAGTGGCTGGTGGCCTTGAACTGCCAGCCTTCTGGTTAGCAGTCAGACAGGTACTATCTTAGGTACCATGCCACCAGAGCTCCCTGGCACATAGTAGGTGCTCAATAAAGATTTGTCAAGTGACTGAATGAAGGCATGTCCTTGCCTTTGCTCAAGCCATTCCTTCCACGTGGAATGCCTCCCCTTCTCATATCTTCCTTTCCTGATCCCACCTATCTTTTAAGGCTCAGGCCCAGGCCCCACTCTTCCAGGAAGCCCTTCTTCATTAGCCAGGTACTGAGAGCCTGGAAAATGGTCTTTTCTTGCCCCTCACCTACTATGCTACCTAATTGTAGATGCCAGGTAAAGACTGAAAAAAAAAAACAAAAAAAAACCCCAAAACTCATTGCCATCTAGTCAGTTCTAACTCCAAGATCAGCAGGTCTTTCTTCTAAAGCATCACTGGGTGGGTTTGAATCACTAACCTTTTGCTTAGCAGCTGAGTACAAGCCACGCATACCACCAGGACCCTCTGTAGAGACTGAGGTGGAGATCACAGGCAGAAGCAAACCAGCTTTATTGGGGTGGAAGGCAGGGGAGGGGCTGCCAGAGGTGGGGCCGTCAGAGGGGGCACAGCAGGGAGGGCAGCCTGGGGTGCCGTGTCACTTCTTCCACTCCTCCTTGTCGTAGTCCCAGCGGGCAGCCAGGCCTTGCACAGGGTTGCCCTTCATATCCAGGATGCGCTGGAGCTGCTGGGCCTTCCACTCGTCTCTCAGGGTGATGGGCTTCTCAGGGA